ATACCAGGAAAAAAAGTGGAGTAAACCTAGCTTTTCTGAAGAAGCATATTCTCACAATTCAAAACAAATTGAAATGGACACTGATTATTAAAATTGTTTTGTTATATCTCAGATGAATTCATGGAATTTATTATTCCATGGAAAACTCTGGTAATTGGTCTTAACAATTGGTCAAAACAATAGAATGGGGAGATAGACATAGATGGGCGACCACAAAACTGAATAACACTGAATAACATGGGAAACTGAAGAAGTAGCGTGAGAAAGTGGAAAGCTCTCTGCCTGACACACCCTAGAAAAAGGAAAACCTCAGTAACACTGAAGCTCCTGAACTGTTTTGGTCGCACAGGCTTGTATGGTTTAGAAAGATTGAGCTCATTTGAAATTCTGTCTGCAAAAAGGTCAATACAGGTGTATATGGTAGTATTTAGATACAGATGTAACTGGCTGCAATACCCATTTCATCTAACCTCTGTATGTGCTAATTCCTTTCTGTAAGACTGCTCATGCGCTGCACCTCTAAGCTGCTGTCAGTGGGGCACTGCATTTTGCTACTGCTTCCTTCCAGCTTCTGTTTGTTGTGGAATACCTGTCCAAAATTATACTGCCTCAGAAACGCAGGTCCCACACTAACCAAACCTAGATTGGTGTTGGGATTCCTTCTTAATATTCCAGTGTGGATATGCACTAGGGATACAATGCAGTGCATCCCAACTGAGCTAAATGAATTAAATCACTCCCTGAATCCATTAGACTGTAAGTTTAAGGTTTCTTCTGCTTCGGTGACTTATTTCACTGTGCTCTGGCTAAATGATTTGTCATGAAGGAAATACTTTGTTATACAGGCTTGCTCATTTCCTTTCCTTTTGCTATTGGGCATGTTACATCACACACGTACAGGTGTTGAGGAAAAAATGAAGCTAATATCTTTTAAATAAACTTAGGAGTATCTTTTTTGCAGACTGCGTTTTATAGTTACCATTAATATCGCTGCAGATTTCCTGTGGTTAAAAGACGAAAAAGAAATCACGTGATCCTAGGAATCTAAAAGAAAGCAAGCTGCATAAAGGAACTAGTGTTGCAGACGTCTTTGACAGATAAAAAGGTTATATTGAATGAAATTTTTAGATCTGTTACTCTTGGAGGGGAAGAGGGCCCGCTGTCTTTTAAGCTGGGTGGAAGTTATGTCTGGAGAACACAGAGTAAGTTCTTCCCATGGTGTGAACAGATGAAATACAACATTGATCCAAAAGGAAAGTGAGCAGGGTAGGACAACTAATGCGTTGTTTTTTGGGGTGACTGTCAGGAAGTGATAATTATCTTGGTTAACAACTCTAGTTGTTAGGAGTTTTATTCCAAGACTAATAACCTAGTGAAGCCCTTTTTGAAAAATGTTTTACGTTTAGAAATAACTTGAAATACCTTTGTGTATGTAAGTACATGTGTGTATATGTATAGATTCTCTGTGTTAGTGTCATGTGATTTGAGTACATAATGACAGTATTGCAACTGTGATGATGAAAGACCATAAGCAAGGCTTATGGTGGTAGGGTAGAAATATCTTTTTAGAACAGCCAGTATAAGAGGGGGAGGGAGGAAGGCATTAGCAAGCTTTTAGGCCCCACATGTCCCAGACTGAAGATCCCTTTTTGCCTGAAAACTGATCTGTTGTGTACAACTATGCTACCACACCAAACTTTGTGTTAATCGAAAGAGACGCTCACTACCACTGCCGTTTAATTATTTCTCTTGCCATGAGTAGCTGCTTACTGCTAAACCTGTAAGATGCCTTTTGAGGACTGCACTGTGACTTCACAAACTAAAAGCTGCAGGATATAAAAGGTAGCCTGTAACCAGAATTACTTTTTTCCTCTGTCTCATCAAAAGTCCATTCCACTGTATGAGAAAAGTTTGTGCAAAGAACTAATACATACTCACACATGCCTTAGCTATAGTAGTGCTGTGCTCTACTTTTAACTCAGGAAAGCAGCTGCAGAAACTGTTCTGAAATTCCTATATTAGACGTGCATCACTCTTATTATTTCTTAAATGCACCTGTTACTGTGCACAACAAATGGAGATGTCAAACATGATGAGCTTAATATTGTGTTTATTTACTTTAATTGGATCATCTTGGGATTGATTAGTTTTCCGCAACAGTTACACTGGTTGCAGCTACACAAGTGAGCACAAATTAACGTGATTGTCTCCAAAATGAAGTAGGTAAGAGGCAAGAAATGCCATAGTTATTTTTTTTATGTTATCAAGCAAACGATGAAGTCAACGTTGTTAAAGAAAGATGACACTTAGTGGAACACTTTTTAGTGTTTGCTTTAGGAGAAGCACACTCTATGCAAAGAATTACTCATAATAAGGCTGTTCGGCACAAATTCTGAAGCTGTGGGTGTATTTAGAGCAAGAAATGGTTTCCTGTGAACTGAATCTGAAATACATGAGTTGTCCATTTTGTCTGAATGTGACTGTTTCATTAGTGGCTTGTTGGTGCTAGCTCTGTTAAGCATATCTTTAATCAGCCTTTTGGGAAATTATTGTTCCGAAACTTACATGTACTCAAGTTGCTGAAGTCTATAGTTGCAATTGAGAAGTGGGGTAATTTGCTGCTGTGATAAGAGCAGCCTAGTTGCTGAGCAAGTGGTATATAGAGATTTATGGGTAGGAGTGGAGGAGGAGGCTTGAGCAGGAGGGCTAGGAAATGGGTATTCAAAACTTTGTATCTGAAACAATAGTAGAATGACAGATTTATTTAAACTGTGAATGGTAATGCTGTTTCACACAGTACCAAATCAGCTAAGTTAAATCCTGTGGTACTGGAGTGAGTATAATTCAGAAGTTATTTCTGAGACTAGGGGAGGAGATTGTTTATTTAATTCTCACGTGTATTCCCAGTCTGGTACTAGCAAAGCTTGAACTAGCAAATCTTTTAGTGTTCAAAAATTATTAATTCTGTTTGTTAAACATCTGTGTCAGGTCAGCGTAATTTAGGATATTGGAAAGAATTTGGAATTAAAGTATGCAAAGAATCACGTCCAAATAGTACTCTTGGCAAAACAAGATAGAGTACTTGCTTCCTCAGAATACAGATTTCATTCCAGTCCATTGTGAAAGAACAATACAGATGCTATATTTCTGTATAATAATTATGGACTTGGAGAAGAGCATAAAATATCTATTGTGTAGCATGACAGAGCTTATTTGTTTTTCCCTTATTTCTCAGTTGAGTGAAAAGCTTAAATTTTAGATAATTTTGGATATAATGTCTTTTTTTAATTTGAATTAATAGTCTGAAAGTTAAGACATTAGTCCCCTATGGAAGAAAAGCATTTGATATATGTCTATATATCAGACATAGTGGCACACAAATTTTTGTAGAAAAAAGCATTCAAATTTATATATAAAGTTATATATAAACATATATATAACCCTCACAAATTATATGTAAGTTAAAATATTTTCAAAATATATGTGCTAAATCCAGTTAATCTCTATATAGTATTCTTGATTACTACAATTAAAGGACATAACATGTGACAGAATGTGTCACAAGTAACATGCTACACATGGTTATCTCTGAGTTGTTCATTTGAAATAAATGGGACCCTTTCCCAATGGAGTTTAAACATCAATGCGCAATATTACCACTATGCCATAGCTATTCATCTAGGCCTAGTTTGACTCCTGAAATGAGGAGACTGTAAGACTGTCTACTGTTGTGTTAAACACTTGGTTCTGAGGTGCTATCAGAAAGGGCTGCAGACTTGATTAAGTTACAAACTAGTATTACCTCTTTATCAGGAATCAGTTCAGAAACACTTGTATGACTAGGCAGCTTCCGAACAAGAGCTAACTTTGTTTCACAAGCTTGCCTTATGGATGCGAGTAGCTTCTTGCCAGCTGTAGTTGACCATGTGGACAAACCTTGAATCATCTTCAGTTTCTCCAGTTACCTTTTCAATATTTCACTTGTTTCGTGTGGTAAATAGGAAGTTCTTTGCCAACAAACACCACCTTGTTTGAGTGAAAATCAGCAAATAAAACGCTGAGGCTTCACCTTGATGTGCCATCTCACTGTGGAAATTTGACTAAACTAGTAGCTTATTAAGTTTATCTATTAACTAAAACACAGACCGTTTACTTGGATATTCCTATAAAATGCGGCCTTGTGATAATCTACTGTGCCTTAGCATAAAAACTTCTCTGTGTGCTTAAACCAGCACAATTAGGTTGCAACATAGGACTTTGTGCTTATTGTGCATTTTTTATTCAGTTGTCTTTCAAGTTGTCAGTCTTTGTGTTAATCTGTAATGAGTTGTTGACTGTGAAGTCATAATGTCCGTCTAACCTGAGTTTAAAGAAATGGAAAAGTGTGGTTTCAGTAAGTTGATATATATATTTTAACCCAGATATTTATACTGCAACTTGCAACATACACTTGAGTGTAGTGTGAATAAATGTTAAAGTGCCACAAGCCTTTTTCCAAATCATGCACATCTGAAAATTCTGTTACTCAGGTAGCCATAATAAGGAGAATTTGGGGTGAATGATTAGCTGCCTGGATCTACTAAATAGCTGACAGTAATTGTAACTAAAAACAGGTTTGTGTGTTGTTTCTCTAAGTAGTAACAAGCTGCTCCAAAAAGCGGTAATAGCAGCTGAGTTTTTCATCCAATAGTGTTGTACTAACGTGTGCCCAAGTCCTGTAGTTGACTAGCATAAAATAAATACAGTATTAATGAAACATTCATGTAGTCTGATCAGGTTCCCACTTCAACTTTATTGAAAGTTGATTGAAGGTTGATTCTGGGCCACTTCAACTTTACTGAAAGTATAATATAGGAATACTCCTTTTTTTTTTTGTTTTTAACTAATTACTTGAATAGATTTGTCCTAGACATGGAAAGTGCTTTTTTTAACCCTTCCATTACATCCTGCCTACTATTTAAAGTTTTAATTTAGAAGAATGGGTAACTTTTTAAATCACTTCTGCCTTGCAGGTTAATCTCCGAGCCACTGATGTCAAGCTTATGCGTCAGCTGCTCATCATCAATGAAAGTATTGAGTCAATCAAGTGGATGATTGAAGAGAAGGCTATTGTCAGCAGAGGTAGCAGTTTGAGTGGCAGCCTGTGCAGCTTACTGGAAAGTCAAGACACATCTCTCCAGGGCAGCTGCAACAGTTTACAAGACTGTAGTGATGGACTAGATGGAATATCAGTGGGGAGTTATTTGGACACTTTAGTGGATGATGTACCTGGTCACCAAACCCCCTCAGATATGGACCAGTTCAGTGATTCTTCTGTTCTCGAGGACTCACAACCCCTGCATAAGCATCCCAAAATTGATTCTGATGAGTACTACTGTTTTGGTTAATAAAAAAGAAAGTTCCATTGGGACACGTGCACTTGTATTAATCTTTTTTCTTTGCTGCTATTTTATTTCATGTGCAAAAAACCCAGACTTCTCTTGGAAGGAAAACATTCTTTGATTCCAATTTAGAACTTTTCTACTGCTCCTGAAACATTTTCTCATAGATGGGTTGTGTCTTCTCCTCCACTTCTCTTTTTTCTTAATTTATTGTTGCAATTTTTCTTATTTTGTTTTAATTTTTTATAATACTGTATTTACGAGTTTTTAAAAGTGGTGAAGGAAAAGCTTTAGCTTTAAAATGAGACGTCAGCATGAGAGTTTCAGTTTTGTACTAGCTGGCAATAAAAAGTCATCTGATAACAGTATGTTGTGGTAAATCTTCCTGACTGCCAGATTTTTGCCTTTCCTGAGACACTATTATTCAGCCTTAGGTCTGAATCTTGACCTACAAAATAATACTACCTTTTGTAAACAAAGATATTTGATCCAGTTAAGCTGTTTTCACTTGGAGTAAAAACTTTTCCAGACTTTTCCGTGTGGGGTTTCTTTCTTCATGGATGTTCTTATCATGCTTCTCCATTTATGACCTTAAGCTTAAATTCTTGGCTTCTCCGATGTCCTGAAGTGGCAGGTTTGAAGTACTAGAAGCTCTGCATAAGAGTATATTTCATTTCTGTGTTTGCTGTTTCATCTTCACTGAACTTGCTGCTTTTAAAGGCACAGTACTTCTGGAAAAAAATGAGGGAGGCATTCCATATTCAAAATACCCAATTCTGATAGTTTGGGTTCTGGGCCAAAACACCCTTGGGAGAATTATTTTAAAAATATAATTTAAGCCCTTGACAATTTTTTATCTTGAAACATTGAGGGACTTAGTGGACATGGTGAAACATTTTGCAGCAAGTATCTCGCTACAGAGTATGTTTTATTTTTGTTACACGTACATAAACCCCATTCCTTCACAAGCTTACTTTTTTTTTTTTAATCAAATAACACAATGCCAAAGCAAATCTTGTCCCACTACCTTTTTGTTTGCTGTTTTACAAATAGGAGCTTGTTTTAGCCTTCTAATAGTGCAGTTGAGAGGTACAGCTAAATATTCCTATTAAAGCTTCTGAGAAGAAAAACAGAAACAAATGCTCTCTGGAAAGTCTCTGGCCTTTGAGACTCCCCTGGCTGGTGTTTTTGTGCAGAATATTAGGAGGCAGATTTTTGTCTGAATTACTTCAGAATCATAATGAAACAAGATTTTATCCTTCCACTTCTCAGAAAAATCAGAATGAAAGAAGCATTATTGAACTAGACTCTCATGAAGAAATTAATGAATGTGAATTTCCAACTTACAGACAGTAGAAATGTTAATCTTAAAACTTTCATGTCTTGCATATATTCTTGTTCCCAATAAAATCATGAAAAACCCTCACAAAAGAAACTGATGTTTGCCTATTACAGTACAGGCTCCCCATTTGAAGTATCTTGTACACATTATGAAGGAATAAAGTCAGTACACGCAGCGTTCAAAGTGTAGTTGATTTTGAGATACAAAAATAGTTGAGCAAGATTCTGCATTTTCAAGCAATATTTCCATGGGCCTGTCTTGTTCGGTCCCAATCAAGAAAATGTGCAAAAAATATAGAAAGTCAAGAAATTGAAAGTAACAATTTGTGCCTTAGGAGTAGTACTATTACTTCTCAATATGTCTTTGTCCAGTTAAAATCCAGCAAGTCAAATTAAAAAATAAGATGCACCTTTTTATGTAGGACATTACCACTTTATTTAAGTAGAAATAGTAAGGGGAAGAATACTTTTCTACTCATACAATTGTTTATTCTTTTCCCCTCTTAACCCCGCTGCAGGACCTGCCAGCGATACTTAAACTTACCTTCTTGTATCGATATACATGCTCAATTACAGACTGTTTTACCTCGTCACACCAGTATAAAAGAACATTGCTGTGGAAAAAGAGAATGGGGTATTATCTCTCACAATATCATTGTAAAAATGCCTCACTCCGTTTGTTGTTAAAATCATGCTCAGGACGTCTGCTCCATACAGCTAAGTTCCAAGAATGGGAAGCTGGACTTCGTCTTGGTACGTTTTCTCGTCAATGATAAAGCTAGTTGAACTGAAACCTTAAGGCTTACAGGATGAGCCTTCTTCTGCCACCTCCTCTAGCCTATCAAAGCTATAACAAATTTTTTTTGTTAACAATACGTCTTTGACCAAAAAAAAAAAGAAAAAAGCTTTTTCCTTGAGTTCAATGAATTCAGATATAAAAATAATTCCATAGTTCTGAAGATCAAAAAGACTGTCAAGCCGAGCTCCCTGATGATTGCTTGGATGTCTAAAAATGATATGTTAAAGCATAGCACCATATCTGGGTAACAAAACGGTTCTGGAATTTTTAGGTTGAAATGCAAGAAAGTATTTTCCGATAGGGAAGCATCCAGTCTATTGAATAGCTTGCTGTATGTAGAAATTAATGTCAATACCTAGGAGCTGAAGTGGGTGAAGTACGGTAAAGATACTCCTGCATCCATGAGGGATTAAGGAGAGAGATCAAACATCTCCTATTTATAGGATTCGTTAATCTGCTCTCAAGATGACACCAAGCCTGTTGCAACAGTTACTGGTATTTTTACAATTCCATGTCTTTATAAATGTGCCCTGTTTTCCTGATAAACGGGCAAGAAAGGAACCTTCAACTTTTTTCTTTCTCACTAATCCACTGAATTGTGGGGAGAAGAAGATACATGGCCAGCTAACCCAGAGATAGTTGCGCATGTAATGGTCTTGATCCAGCCTAAAAAATGAGAATGCATTTTTTGGTTTATTTTATAATACATAAGTTTAAGTTATTATTTGCATAAATTTAAATATTTTTATTATTATTAGGAAAAGTGATATGAACACACATAGCATGACACAGAGTTTGAATAAGCGCTATAATTACATTCAAAGAATGTAGCATTTAACCGTTTCCAATTAGGAAGAAATGTGTGCTTACTAAGAGAGACTTCTCAATGCAACTCTGCAATCAAACAAGGTTATTTGCAAGTTATTGCAAATAACTTCAAGGAGAGCAGAGACAAGCCCTCAAATGGCAATGCTAGCCTGACTTTTAACATTTTCTAGATTCTTTTATTCCTTCCCCAGCGTACAACTGTGGGACAGAGTTTGAAGAAAAAGCTCGAAGAAAAGTACTGTGGGACAGAGTTTGAAGAAAAAGCTCGAAGAAAAGTCTTGGAGATTTTCTCTTTCATTGTGTCGTCAAATAGAACATAATCTGTGAATTCAGCTTAAGTTTTATTATTTTTTAATTATTTGAATCCAGGGAAGAGAACTAATGCCCTCGTCTAAATTGTGACAATTTTGTAGCTTTATTGTTTGGCATGGAAGTTAAGCATCAGGATATATATACTCCTTCCAAAATGTAATGAATGTACAGAAGCCTTTCCTTCTCTGATTGAGTTTTTGGGCAGTAAGCCAAGCTGCACATAAATTTTTTTCTACTATGAAGGGAATTCAAAAATATTATTAACATCCCTTTTCAAATGTCCCCTAGAGTTATGCTGAAATGACTTCAAGGAAAATGCAGAACTGTAACTGTCACCCACCCACTCACAGCCTTAATACTGGATAAAGAGTAATTACACCAGTGATAGATTTATCATATTATGATTAAAAAGTTCATATAAATGGGAGTCAAACCTGGCAGAAAAAAAGGTCTACTGCTGAAAGTAGTGAAATAAAAGTTTTATGTGATTAGAAGCTTTCATTCCTGTGACACCTCTTCACTGCAAGTGGAGAAAGAGTAGAAATGACAAAATAGAGCTGGCAGAAGCCTTTGAGTTCACGGAAAGAGACAAGAATTTCCTAGTGTGGAGCTCCTTATGTCCAGGAACAGGAATGCTTTGTTTTCTATTTTTTGAAGCGTGAAAACCTCAAAGATTTAGGTTTGAAGTAGTTTTCTCAATTACATTAATAGAGTTCATAGCCGGAAGATTATCGTCTGCTCTGACCTCCCACTTAAGACAGATCAGGAAACCTGCTTATCTCCTGAACTGAACCCAGTAACTTACAGCTGAACTATAACTTCACTATTTAGATAATATAAAACATATAATGCTACTTAAAAAGCTATTTAAGTGAGTAATTAATTTTGCTGTAAAAGAACTCACATACTTCCAGCTCTTTCTTGACTCGGTTGACTTTGGGCTACTTTGGCTGCTAAGTTCTTTTCCTCTTTAATTTCATTGCATTTTTTTCTGTTTTACAGGACTTAAAAATAATTTTTAGTAGTATAGCGTGAAGTATCTCAAAGCATTTCACAAAGTTATGACTGTTACATATGGAGAAAAGCAACAGAAATCAAAACAAAAGTGCAAAAATAAAAAGTGGAGTTTTTTGTTAAAATTATTCCTTACATCTCTATCATTTTGATTCTTCTGTCTTTTTGATTACCTCCTGACATGGTGAACAATTTTGAGACAATTTGTGAAATCACAGAAACCCAGTCCGTTCTTACTTCTGTGCTACTGAAGCTCTTTCTTTGAAAGACATCTCACTATGTAAGGTGTGTAATTCAGAAACAGGGACAATCCAAAAAGACAGATTCGGTATGCTTTCTGTTTAAAATAACTGTTTTCTGATAACAATAGGAACCACCTAGCAAATGTATGCTATTCAGTTCATAAACTATCCAAGAAGGGGAGGAATAAATCTCTTAAGTTTCACATCTGAAAACTTTGGTGTTTCAAAGCTTCTGTGAAAAAAGTCTAGCTATGAGGTTTTATTGCACTTCTAACATAGCAATTAAAATTATTTGGAATCTCTCTGTCATTTGCCAAGTCCAGTTTTGATCTAAGGCTGCATGACTGTTCCTGTCTCTACAAACGCCATGAAAGGTTGCAGAACTGATCAGAAGTGCTTGGATCCACCAGTTAGCCAGAAATCATAAACTTGGGAACTGAAGGTAGAACAGCATCTCTGCCCTTTGGAAGGCACACTACCATCCGCCTACAGACTGAAAGAGAGCAGGATAACAAAAAAAGGCAAAACAAATAAACAAAAAAAAGAATCTGCTGTATCTCTTTAAAGGGAGCCCTCTGACTTTTGGAGGGAGTGGTAAAATGTATCCTTTTAAAAGCAGATGTACTGACACAATGTTTGAAAGTCTGAAGTTTCAAAATCTTTCTCTGCATTTCACTTTGAAAAAGGAGAAAGTGCAGTAGGGGTAGATGAAGTGCAATCTGAAATAATGTCTGGTTACACCATGCAGTTGCATCTCATATATCCCTGTATAATCTACTAAGATACTATGGGGGTTTTGTTTAGTAATTTTAGACAGTTACTAAACTGTCTAAAAAGCTTGCGTGAGTATTTTTAATGTTGCCAACACTTTTTCTGAACCAAGCCTAAAAGATGTGTCTTTGATATAAAGAACTAATGTATACCCAGTAAACATGAGATCAGTAGAAAACATCCATCACGTACCAGTAGAAAGAGCCTTTTTTTTTTACTTCCAT